GAGAGAGAAAAAGAGAGAGAGGGGCGCCGGAGTGAGAGACAACATACCAAGGCTCCTTAGGCTTCTCCTCCGGCGGAGGTCCCGCAGGCGGCCCGATCCAGCTATGACCAGTGCCTGAGTAACCGACAGGCTGGATAGGGTTCGGGACCCACGAGGGAGGAGGACCAGCCGGGGGAGCATAATGAGCTGTGGTCGGTTGAAGCGGTACTTGATGCTGAGGATAATGGTAAATCGGCTTGGTGTCGTATCCTCCCGACTGGTAGTTAGGGTTACCGACAGGGCGCGGTGCGAAGTTCTCGCCGTCGTTATCGGCTGAGTGTTTCCTGCCGAAGCACATTGTGAAGGAGTGTCGACTGGGTTGTTAGTCGGTTGACTGTTGGTTAGGTAGATTGCGGATTACGGGGGTAGTTGGTAGGTGCAAGAAACCAGTAGGTCGGGAAATTGAAAAGCAGTAAGGCGCAATTGGGATTGCAAAGAGCGCTTTTGTTCCAACGTGAAATTGGCCTTTGCGCACGCCGTGAAGTGACCTAACAGAGGCAGTGCTGTGTGAACGAGATTGGTTGGGAGTAAGCACCTATATGCTGTGACCTCACCGCAGAAGTGTTGAAAGTAGGAAAGGAAGAAACCAAAATAATAATACGGGTGATGATTATTTGCCGTCGCGTGGTCACTTGGCAATTTAACAACGTAATTTCACACGTTGGAGGCTTAGATAGACTTCTTTTGTTTGAGTGATTCCCTTGGTTGGGCACCTGGTCAACAGCAAATTCATCGGATGGAATCTGATGATTCTTGATGCCTCAGCCTTCCCTTGTCAGTGGTTATTGAGTGTAGATGGTGAAAAAAAAAAAAAAAAAAAAAAAAAAGGAAGGACGAGGTACAGGTGAAGGTAAGACGAGAATAGTCCCTAAGAAGACCGCTGTACAGTCTGCCAAGAGGGCTGCTTCAGGGACCACACACTAACAGCGCCCTCAGAAGAAACCAAAGGGCAAATGGAAAGATGCAGCTTACAGAGGAAAGATTTACCCCACCTTATGAGCTTGCACAGCCACCATCAGCAGGCGCAATTATCCTTGATTTTGCTTTTCTCCATGGACTGATGTGTTCTAAAAGCAGAATTGGTCACCTTACAGATGATTGTGAGATCCCGAGACATGGTCAAGTCAAATAAAGGGCTTTCATGTACTTCAATAGACATTGACTTTGTGAGAAAAACTCCCACAAGCTATCGTAAAGTTCATAATTGTCCATTACATATATGTATGTATGCGCGTATGTTAAGCCAGCATAACGCCAACTTTTGGCCCATTCAATATCGTATGTAGTAGAATCTAAGGCATCCGTAGGCATCCTTCTTCATCCTTTTCGACCCTCCAACACCAGCCAGTGTTGGCTTCCATCTAACTATCATGTGTATCCTCTTCCTTTCCTCCTCCTCCTCCCTCCCTCCCTCCCCCCCCCCCCCCCCAAACAAACCCCCCCAAGAAAAAAAAGTCCCAAGGCTATAACACGGCCTTCGCTCTCATCTCCCCTCAATCAGCTCTTCCTCACATCCCCTCAACCTCCCCTTCTCCCCTCCACATCATTCATTCAAGCAGCAGTCCCCCAACTGCTAGCATCCTTCGCCTCCGGATAAAAGAACGCCACCACACCAATAATCACATAGGTGGCGATCAACAACGCGCCCTCCAAGTAATTACTCCTCCCGTCCAAAACCAAGAAATTCGTAATAAACGCCGACACAAACAGACACACCGTCTCGAACAGCGTGAAATACAGCGTCATCTCTCGGTTCATGATCCACCCAATAATCACCACCAGCGGCGTGATGAACAGCGCAATCTGTATCGAACTGCCCACCGCCACGCCGATCGCCAAGTCCATCTTGTTCTTCATCGCCACAGTGATGGCAGTAACGTGCTCAGCCGCGTTGCCCACGATGGGGAGGATGACCAGGCCGATAAAGACTTCCCCCACATGAGTGGTTGCCACCAGGCCGTTGATGGAGTCGACTAGGAACTCGGCGCACAGCGCAACCAGACCAGTTGACACTAACAAAAGGAGCACGGCCGCCTTGCGGGACAGCTCCTCCTCGCCTTGCTCCTCCTTGAGGATCGCTGCGGTAGAGGGCTTGTGCGCGAGCGGGATCTGGGAAGGCATGATTGCGCTTTGGGGATGATATGTCGACGAGGTACGGTGCAGCCGGTCCGGCATGGACTTGATCCTCCGCAGACGATGGGTCGTGCTGTCCTGGACTTGGATGACTGGCACGGCGGGATCAGGCAGGGGCGCGAAAACACCGGGGGCGAGGCGTTCGCGCAGGGTTTGCAGGGGGCTGCGCGTGCGAGGGGTGCCGACTGGGTTTGCAGCGGGAGCAACAACAATTGGGGCCGAAGGGGGTTGCTGGGCGAAGTCGCGACGACGAGGTTCGTAGGGCGAAAGGAGGTTTTGCACGGGGGGTTGAGAGGGACCAGCGATGACGTTGTTGCTGCTGCTTTCGATGGCAGCCCTCTCGTCGTGACTCTTGTGCCCATGCTTATGCTTGTGGTGATGCTTCTTGGAGGAGCGCTTATAACGGCGGCGCTTCTTGCGGTGGTGGCGATCTTCGTCCTCAGCCTCATGGCCATCGTCCTCGTCAGCTGTGCTCGACTTGTGCGACTTAGACCGGCAGGCCTCGTCGGTCAGCTGGTCGCCCTTGGCAGGGTAAGAATCGTTCGAGCTGGACGTCGTCGGCCGAGAATCGCGGTTTGAGTGGTTCGAATGGCTCGAGCTACCGCTGGAACGCCTGCGACGCATCATCCGCTTGATGCGCTTCCGGGTGTCCCTGGAGTGATCCGAAACAGACGATTCCGAGTCGCTCGACGAGGAGCTGTCGCTGCTGCTGCTGCTGCTGCTGTTGCTGCTGTCGGAACTGGACTCGAGCCAGCTAGCAGCTGGGCCAGGTGTGGCTTCCTCATCGATGATGTGCTGAGGCGTCGACTCGTACAGGTACGAGTGTGAGATTAACTGGAAGAGAAGGTAGATGATATACACCAGGAGAAGGATCTGACCAGTCAGCATTTGATGTCCACGACTATGTTTCAAAAGCAAGTACTTACCACACTGGTGCCGCGGCTGATTTTGAGAGACTGAGCGTCGGCAGTTTCAATGTCTCGGAACGAAGCATGAAAGGCGGTCTAAAGAATCAGCATTGGGTCAACCTGAACCAGCTAAAGAGGGCACACATACCGGCAAGACCAGACTGATGACACTCAGACTCAGCAGACAAGCACTCATCTGAGTGACGGTGCTATTGTAGATCTACTCTGGTTAGCGCAGCCCATAGAACCAGGAGCTCACTAGACTCACCTGCTCGCGGAAGAGCAGACCGCCAAGGAAGAATGACATGCCCAGAATGAGCAGCAAGTTGGCCAGGATGGAGCCCAACAACGAGGCCTGGACAATTCGAATCTCATTTTTGGCAAGAGCAATAATGAATATGATCAACTCGACGGCATTGCCAAAGGTCACGTTCAGCAGAGCGCCCAGCGAGTCGCCCAGACGATGAGCAACGGACTCGGTAGCATAGCTCAGCAGTCCGGCTAAGGGCACAATCGCCAGGGCATTCATGGTGAAGATGATAGCCGGCGACATGTGCGTCTCGGCAACGGCAATGCCGACGGGCACGAAGGCAAGCAGCAGGTTGACGCGCGAGTGGAAGAGGATGGTCTTGGTGGTGCGCAGAGCGCGCTGGAACATGTTGCCCTTGTCATTCTTGACCTTTTCGTTGGCATCATTACTTTGGTTGGTGTTGTTGCTGTCATCGCCCTCCTTTCCGTTGGCGACGCTGCCACTGCCAGACTCTATGACAGGCCCCGGCTGTGCAGACGGCGATGATATCGAGGGCTGGTTATTGTTACTACTACTACTGCCTTCGATCTCTGTGCCGTCTGCAGCGACGGGCTGGGCAGCCGTGCCACTCGATGAGTGCTGGGCCGAAGAGGAGATACCATTGTGGAGGCCGGGAGAAGAGGAAGAAGAGTGAAGTTGCTGCTGCTGCTGCTGCTGCTGCTGCTGCTGCTGCTGCTGCTGCTGACCGCCTACGGGCGCCGAATCCAAACGAGGGCTGCCGCCATGCGATGTGGGCTGGGCGATAGGCGAAGCTCCCTTCATCGAAATTGGATGTACTGGAGTGAGGATGTCGGTGTCGACGCGGCCGGCGCAGGCAAGCAATCAAGTGAGAAATGAAGATGAGAGAAGACGTCGAAATGTCCAAGAGACAAGAGCAAGGAGAACAGAGCGCTCCGCGTTGAGTGGCGGCTCTCTTTATACTATACCTTAGTAACAAAACAGCGGCAGCTGTAGGCGGCAGGCAAGCCGTGGGCACCTGTGATAAGTCCGCGTCTGTGGCCAAGGACCGTACCATTCCCGTTTAGAGGGCATTGAGCAGGCTGCGTGCCCTCTCATTGGTCCCCCACATGAGCAGCGAGGCCCCACCCGGTGCCAGCTGCGCTGCGCAACAGGCAAGGGCCTCTGTTACTCGCGGTGGGCCTCTGGAACGCAGCGCCGCGTTCCTGGCGTCTCAATGTGGCTGAGCTGCATGAGCTAACGGATGGAAAGCAACGCCTGGAAGCATACGGAATTTCGAGTTTTTAAGCAAGCTTCTCTTTTTTTTTTCCTTTTTTTTAATCTTGAAGTTTGCAGCTATAGGAATAGTCACAATTGAGAGACTATCATAGAGCAGGACCATTGCCACAAAGAGGACACCATCTTGAAACTTTTCTCTCTACCGGGTACTGATTGGATTAATTATGCCGTAGCTAGACTTACACACTGGGCAAAAGTCGCATGGCCCGTACTCGGTACACGTGTAACCTCCCAAGCAGCAATGAGCCGCCCAATCACCCGCCTAACTCTGTCCTCCTAGAGCCACGGTATCACTCATGCCAGCACGGCAGCCTCAAAGCTTGATATTACTTGGCTGCAACTAACCGCTGGCCTATGCAAACACAGACGATCTGAAATGCCTAACGCCTATGGACGTAAACGGCATCATCATGGAGAGGAATGTTCACATTCACAGTTGGCTGCCTCACTGATAAGCTCTCTTCGTTTGAAGAATTTCTGAAAGCTTAAAGATCCACCTTTACCCAAATGTTCTCCCTCCTTCCCCTGCCCCTCTTTCTCATTCAGGAAGGCCTGTCACATCGCACGTAGCGTGTGACGTCAGCAAGCATGCGCATCATCGATCTCAGGTGTGCTGCGCCACACAGATCGCTCAGATCTGCTCGTCATTTGCTGTCGACCACACTTCATGTCTTTTGTGTTCCTGATGAATCTTGAAACAAAACAAAGTGCAACAGAATCGACGGAATCATCAAAGATTTGTTTGAAGTAGCTTCGAACAGCCAGCTACCACCCGACCGATAACCAACATGGTAAGGTGCCATTGAGCCCAATTGCCAAGATCAACAAAAGGCGGTGAGATGAAACGCCTCGACATTTTTTTTTTTTTGCGCTCACCCAGCCATCGAGCTCACATGAAATGTCAAAGCGAGATGGGTCCTGTTGATGGGATGAAGTTGATCCTTGCATTGTTGCTTGAGCTCTGGAGCAAAGATCGATGATGAGATATGGTGAGTCCTAGACTGGTTAAGCAAGTCATTACTGGGCCTTGAGCTCCAGTTGAGAAGAAAGAAAAAGAGAAAAAAGGAAAAAGGAAAAAGGAAAAAGAAAGAAAAAAAGAAAAAGAAAGAAAAGAAAGACGACACCAAGAGGAATACTAGGAGAATTTGTGAAGCTCGAGAGAACTGGTTTTACTTGTTGGGATGATTGATTGCCTTGCTTTTCTAACCTGGAGAGCAATAGCCATCAAGTGTAACTTTTACGGCACCAAATAAAAGCCACAAAGTACTCTGTGTATGGAAGGCACAAAACATCACAGAGGATACTTATATTTCCAGCGACATAATTCGATATCAATAGGCAGCTTGGGCTATCACTCTTAACCGTGAATGCTTAAGTGCAGTCTAGGTCATAACCCAAAAAAATAACAAAAACCAAAACAACTCCCGACTCAACCTCTTAAACAAAAAAGTCAAAAGTAAAGAAACAACAATAATAACATGATTAAACAAACAAGATCCGCAGATCTATTATAGTCAAAAAGACGACGACGACGACAACAACAGCAACAACAACAACAACAACAACAAAAAAAAACAAAGGTCATGAATCATGCCTCATCATAACTCATAACCATCCGAGGACAACGACTTACATCGAATTCAGAACCAAATCAATACGCCGCCGTCGACCGCCTCTTCAAACTAAACAACCTCTTCAATCCCCTCTTCTCCTCCCCAACAGCAGCAGGGATACTCCTGTCCTCTTCCTCCCCCTCACTCACCCCCGTCTCCTCATCCTCACGCCTAACCCCACTCTCGCTGTCCGGTCTGGCAACCTTTTCCCCATCCACACTTTCCCTCACCCTAGTCTTCCGCTCCTTCCCCTCCCTGTTAGACAACGTCTCGTCCATCTCATCGTCATACCACAGCTTGGGCACGACCAGCCGGTACGGCACGGTACTGCCGCCCGGATCGCGCGGGGAGATCTCTACGTTGAGCGTCACCTCCAGCGCACCCGTCAAGTCAATTGTATACTCCTCGGCGTGCTTGCGCTGCTTGGCAGTGAGGAGCGTCGGCGTGCGGCGGAAGGGCGACGTCTTCGGATCAGACGTGCTCTCCGTGGTGGCCTGGGGGATATTCCCGGTCGTCGCGGCATGCGGGAGACCCGTCGGAGTAGGCTTGTGTCCGCGGGAGGTGTTTGGCCGGACGGCGGTGAAGCAGGCTTCGTCACCCCGCTGGAACTCGTCGTTGATGACCGGGCCGGAGTAGTTATGTTCTTCGTACGCCGCATGCTGGTGACTCTGGGTCTGGGGTTGATCGTGCTGATCATGACGAACAACCGACTCGGTATCCGTGTCCGGCCCGTTGGTCTGCACAGCGACGTCCTTCTTGCTAGCGGTGCTCCTCCTCCTGAACAGGCCGCCAAACTTGGACTGCGAGGCACCAGCCACATTGGACGCAGAGAATGTGCGCACCAGACCGGTCTTACTCGCGCCAGCTTGCTGGTTCGCCTGGCCAACGTGGTCTGCACTCGCGGTGCCCGGACGACGAGACAGTGAGCGCAGGAGCAAGCCGCTGCGAGAGATCGGAGGGCGAGACCTGTCCTTGGGGATACCGCTTGCCGAGACGCTGCCCTCGGTACCGACGGTGGGCATCGACTTGTTGCGGCTGCGGAAGGACAGGCGACGGAAGATACTCCCCCTGCGCTCACCTCCCTCGCCAGGGCCGACCTCAGCCGAGGACTGCGCTGGCGTCGACTGCGGCGTGGTGCCGGGAACATAAGGTCTAATGGAGCACCAGTTGCGATGCGGCAGGAGATGCTTATTATTCCTCGGCTTGCCATCCACGCCATGTGCAAAGAGCGGAATCATGTCCTCGTCCGTTTCTTTATCGAAATGGTGGACCTTGTTCCGCTTGTTGAGCACATCAGCGAGGATTTCCGGCGGCGGGGTGTTGACAATGGCCGACGAAATCACGTTCGGCATGTACCGGAAGTCCTTGTGTTTGGGCAAGCCGAGCTTGGGATTCGAGTAGAACTGGCCGATGGCGGCGAGGTGCACGTCGCCGCTGAGGATCGTCACGCGGACGGACTTGTCGGCGGCCAGGTCCTGGAGGTCCTCGATGACGATACTGCGCTCGCGCTTGTGGCTCTTCGCCGTCCAGTGGTCGTCGAGGTCGTCGAGTACCTCGACGCCACCGTCGATTTTGTTGAGCAGGCCGCCTAGCATGCCCAGCTTGCCGAGCGCCTTGATCGGGTCCATGACGCGCGAGGTGAGGATGTTTTCCAGCCAGACGAGACGCGGGTAGGCAATGGGAACGCCAAGGAGCACGAGGAGGTGGTCGACCTTGCCCTTGTCGATCTCGGAGTAGCAGCGATCCATGAGCTTCTTCCAGGTGTCCTCGCTGACCACCTCTTCCCTGGTCCTCTCCGTGCGACCATCGACGGCCAACAGGGCGACCTTGCCGCCCATCGACATGAACAAGCTACGGCTGAGCTCGTTGATGTACGGGCCCGGCTTCTCGCCAAGTATCCAACTTGGCTCAGCCTCTTCCGTCTCCGAGGGGATGCTCTGGTGCTGGAAGAGCATGTAATACTTGAACGCGACGTTACCGAGACCCGAGAAGACGGGCGAGTTCATGAAGTGATGAGGGTACGAGCCAAACCCATCAATGATGTCGTGGTCGTCCCACATATTCACCATGGGAATCTGAGCATTGGCCATGCCAAACAGACCCTGCGAGAACCACATGCAGTACCGCTCGAGATAGAACGCCTCCAGCTCGTCCTGCATCTCGGGGGTAAACGGCGCATTGTGCTTGTGGATCGGGTTCTTGATGCTCAACCACTCGCGGAAGAGCCTGACATCCTGCATGCAGCGATCGTTATAAATCTGGTCACCACCGCCGATCATGACATGGAAGGGCTGGCTCTGGTGAGCATTCAGCACGTCACGCCACAGGGGATCCGGCCCGCTGAACAGGTTCGAGTCGACGCTCAAGCTGAACCCGTTGCAGCTGTAGAACATGATGTTCATGGGCTGGCCCTTGGCAGGGACCCAGAAGCCGGTCGACGGGCCGCGGTTGATGCGGTACGCGATGCGCTGCTGCTTGTCACGTAGCTCAACCTCGATGTTGAACCGCCAGAAGGTGTAGCCGCGCTCGGCGTGCAGCCTGAAGCCGCGGATGTCACGGTACTTGCCGGCCTTTTCACCGTCCATCTCGGCGCGCTTCCGGCGTGCGGCGAACGAGCCGGGGGGATCGACCATGCCGTCGGGTAGCGGAACGTCCGGAGGACTCCGGGTCTTCTCGAAGAGACCGTCATCGGTCTCGTCCCGGGATAAGTCCCTGCCTTCCTCAAGATGGTCGACAGGCCGGACGTACAAGGTTTCTCCCTTCCTGCCGAGCTTGGGATGACCGGCAAGCGGATCAACATACTCGGGGGATAGACTCTCGTCGCCATCGATCATACGGGGCGGGGTCGGCAGCAGTTCGATCGGCTGGACGAACAGCCTCAACGTCGGGGCGATTTCATAGGATGAGTCGGCGTCGCTCGTTACGATCATGATGGAACCCCTCCAGATTTCCCTGTCGATGTATCCTCCATTTCGGGCCGATCTGTTCGGAACACGCTCATGGCGGATTCCGCAGAACCTCAACAGAGGACCGCACTTGAGATACAGCGGCGGCTTGAAACGCGTGGGAGCTAAAAAGAAAAAAAAAAAACAAGAACACACAAACTTAAGTCAGCATTCAATGCAATAACGCCAATGGGTCTCAGGGGCAGAGAATTTGAGGGGGACTGGGGTAAAATGTACGGGAATAAATCAGAGTCTGCCGGGAAAGCGTGGCATCATTGCTGCGCAGCGAAAAGCACTCGAGACTGTCTGTGGAGTCACTTGCACCAGGGGGGCTTGGGCTCAGGGGACGCAAGTCATCCCAGCGCTTCGAACGGCCTTTGGACTTTCTAGGAGCAGCGGCAAGATGTTGAGGTTCGAACGGGAGACCGCTACGGACACTGAGATCGCTTTGCGACGGGAAGCGGAACTCGCCGTTCTGCACCTCGGCAATGCTGGGGTATATGGCCTGAGCAGTAGGGGGTCTCATACCGTTGACTCTCTCATCATACTCTCCTGCATACGCCTCTCCTTTGCGGGGCCTTACCGACACCGACACCGACGTGGACGTGTTGTTGCTGCGTCGCTGCAGCGACGCGGCGTCTCGTCTTGAGCCGTGCTGTCCAGACGGGTTTTGTATGACCTCGTTGTCGATGTCTATAAGGGCACCGGTCAACGCACCGACAGTGGCATGCTTCCACTCTTCGAGGTACGGCTTGGGCTTGTACATGCCCTGGCCGGGCCGCAGCAGCTGTTCACGCGCACTGAAATCGGCCTCGGAGATCTGATGATGCTCCTCGGCCCGCTGGTGCGTCTCGGGGGCATGCTCGACACGGTCATTCGCAGGGCCGTGAGGAGGAGGGTTCGCGGCTGCTGCTGAAGGCGGCATCGGTTTCCTCAGCACGTTGTGTTGTCCCTGCCGAGGAGCGTTGTGGGCGCTTGGGGCGGGAACATCAACACCACGGCCGAGGATCTGATCTGCCTTCTTTTGGCTCGGCGTCCTGGTTATTTTGCCAGAAGCAGGGTAGGCCAGCAGATCTTCATCCCGCAGACTTTCTCCGTCGAGGCTGTCGTTGAAGGTACGCTGGGTCGACTGGCTCTGAGCCGGCAAGTCATCGGCATTAAAGATCGATTCGGGGTCGGAGACTCTCCTCGGCCACGGGTCGCCCTGATATTTCTTGGCTCTCCTCTGCCGGCGGCCTGGGGGCGTGGTGGTAGCGACGTCCTCAAGAGCATCTGGCAACTTGATATCATTCCTGGCTGCGCGCTCGCGGAAGCTGAGATTGCGCCGAATGCCAACTGTTTGGTCGGAAGCGGCCGGAGGAGCGTCTTTAGCCGACATAGAAGATCGACGGGCCCGGGCACGCCCCCCCTGAGATGCATTCTCCTCCCGCTGGATCGCACCATTTGCTGCCGTCGTCGTCGCCGCCGCCGCCGCGGCAGCTCTTTCCCTAGCAGCCCTCTCCGCAGCTTCTACACGAGCACGTTTATCCTCCTTCGAAATGCTGTCGAGGGCTGACTCGAGCTGTTGCAGGGGCGAGCGGTCCGCGACCGCTTTTGGTCGCTGTGCGGACGTCCTCCTTGAACTCAGGTGCAAGGACTGCTCGGCGGCAGACGTCCTCCGCTGCTGCCGACCACCGTTAGCAGGAGCAGCGTCCATGGCAGCAAGACTATGGTCCGTCGGTACCCTGTGCGAGCGTGGAACAGCGGGGTCATTGTGTGAATGTCTGGTCTTGTCCACCGCTAGCTGCTGGGACGTGCGCAGGTGCTCCTCGGCCGCCATCTTTCTATGGTATTGGTCGCTTCCAGAGTACGAGGCAGACGATTGAGATGGCTGCCGGCGAGAACCGACAGGAGGATAGTTGAAAGAGGGGACGGTGCGCGGCACGTCGGGAGCGGCGGGCGGGGGCTTGCCTGCTATAGAAGCATAGCTCTCGTCTTGCTCGTGACCTTGGCTTCTGCGTCGTCGACGGTTTTCCAACAACTCGGGAGGGTACTGCGTGGCGCCGTAGGGCAGAGAGGGGGGTCGAGGGGTAAGACCGGTTGGGGTGAAGCTAGACGCAGTGGGCGACGCAAAGGGGCTCAGAGTAGAGTCGGTGGGGGCGTCTGATTTTGTAGTCTGGATTGAGAAACGATTCGATCGTGACCGTCCCTCTGCCGAAGCATCCAATGATGAGGGGCGTTCCCGCGAAGCGACTTGGTCATCCAGTAGGGACGAGCGACGAGCTTTGGTTTGGCCCTGGCCCGAGGGGGACAGATTGCCCCAGTAGGGCGCCGACATGGTGAAATGGCCCTCGGGTTGGGTTCGCGTGAGGGGCGTGCCGTTTGAGTCACCAGGCGCAAGTTGGCGTGGAGTGCGTCGTCGATGTGGGATTCGATCGCGGCAAGTGTTAGCTGCAGTGCCGAAGACGTTTGATGGGCCAATGGCTTGATGCTCAATGGAACATCAAATCGTGTCACTGGCATCAATGCCTCAATGGCTCGATGGCTCAATGGCTCGATGGTTCAATGGGCGACTCGGCTCTCGAGCGTGGCCAACTGCCCAACCGCCCAGGGCTGAGCTCGCTGTGCACGTTACCCTCCGTGCAGACGTCGTCGTCGTCGTCGTCGTCGTCGTCGTCGTCGTCGTCGTCGTCGTCGTTTCTGTGCGTGAAGAGTCTGCGCGAATGTGTCTTAGGGGGCCCAGCTTGTGACAACGATACCACCCTAGCCGGTTTGCCCTCGCAGACACAGAAACGCCTTTTGCTCTTCCACACACACGCGCTCGTCTGCTGGCTTGTTTGGACTCGAAAGAGTGGGCAGACCGCTGGTTGGAAGGGAGCGAGGGAGACCCAGAAGCTAGGAGCTGGCAGAGTCAACGCAGCTGCAGGGCGGTCGACAGGATTTGTGGGCGGGCCATGCATGGGGCCGCGAAGTCGCCAATATCGTGCAGACACATGCGCAGTCGGGCGCGATGGTCCACGTCCACTCCTCGACCTGTTACAGCTCGCACCACACAGCGGCCACTCAGCGCTCTCCGCCACTTATACCGATCCGTACAGTCCGCAGTCCGCATACAACACCATGCGATGCAAGTGCAGTTGCAGGGACAGACGAGCCTGTCTGTATGTGTGTGTGCGAGACACAAAAAGGCCGAGCTGTCTAGCCGGAGTTTCCTCGATGTCTTGAATGTCTTGGAAGCCGTCTTCTTGTCATGGACTCACGCGCTGTTTCTTGTCGGTCTCTCGAGTTTCTCGACACATTTCCGAGTGCCCAACCCCCCCGGAGCTGGAACAAGACGGTGGGTGTTAAAGCCCGGCCCGTCCAATGCGGTGGGCCATTGGTGGCAGGGAGGCTTTGACCAGGACGTTCTTTCAGGCCTGGCCTTGGCGGCGGTTGGGCTGGGGTTGGCAAGGGTCCCATTCTGGATCTGAGTGGGAATTGTGGGGCTGCACGACCCCTGCTGTTGGGGCCTTTTGGCATCGACGTCCGAAAAATCGGAAGGCGGGAAGAGCCACAATTCACCCGCTCCACTGGCCTGTGTCCCCGAGGTTTGACGCTTTGCCATCAATTGGGCTCTCTGACTGGGCAAAGGCACTCTCCATTCGTTTTCTTTTTTTTTTTTTTGCTTTTTTTCTCGCAGTGAATGGAGTCGATTCCTCGCATTGCCTGGCATCACGCGAGAAATAATGGTGGCTGGCTGTTACGGGGGGACCGGCAGTGCAAATGAGTGGAAGGGGGGGGGGGCTTCTTGACTACTGTAAGGGGCAGCAAATCTTCCCTGTCAACGTAGTCACCCCTTTTTCGATGACACAAGTTCTATTGAAGGATGCTTTGACAGAGTCGTCAGGTCTTACAATCTTACTGTAGTAGTAGAACTACAAAGTGCTTGAAATATAGGAAGCTTGGGCTCCCAGGCAAGCAGTGGATCACAAGTGCGGCTACTTAACATTGGTAGTAGGTGCTTGAGCAACAAAACATTTTCAGACAGATGATATTCATCATCTATCTTCCCTCTCCTTATTCACAACACAGCAGGCAGCTATTCCGGATCTTCTTTCCACTTTTCTTTCCATTCTTATCGCTTTGGCTTTTCTTCTGCCTTTCCTCCTCCGTCTCCTTTCTTTCTCTCTTCCTTTTCGTTTACTTCCCTTCTTCGGTATACCTTCGCTTTTCTGTCCCTTTTCTCTCCTTAAGCGTACTATTGACAGAAGAATTGTACCGGTACTAGCCTCAACAGCGAGCTAAAAGCCCGCAACAATTATAGTTCAATCTGCTGCTTAAAGCTTTTTTTTTTATCTTGAACAGACTTTTGTCTATTCGCCGCCTTGCTCTGTACGAAGTACTTCCACCATCAAATGCCCAATGCAGTCATTGTCCAGGAAGCACAAAGTTGGTTGCTCCGGGAGACGTACGGTTTTCGGTCCTGGTGTCAAGAGGTCAAAGTTTGTTTGTTACAAAGGCATGGTGACCCCAGGGGCTGTGCAGACTGAAAATCCGGGCTTATACAAATGTACGCTACATTGATGGGTGACATACCTCCGCCAGTTTACAGGACAGAATACAGATCTGACGCGGCGGTGGGGTTGGGGTTGGGGGGAGGGGGGGAGGGGGGGGGGGGGAAGGAGGGGGAAACCCTAGGAAGAAACGACCAATTCGAAGGAACCATTAGAGATTGGAAGAACACTAGAAGAGCAGGTTCTCCAGAAATGTCTGGATCTAATTGCCCAAGGTTCACCTACCTGCCCCGTAATCTGCCAACGAGCGACTGGCGATACCTAGCGGAAAGGCACGGAAGCATGCTGAGCACTGGACTCATGGTATTGGAAATATAGTGTGACGTTCTCCTCATATCCTTTTTTGCATACTTCTGGGATAATGTTTTTGGCTGAGTTCCACGCGAGTGAAATGAGTAAGTTTTGTTGGGGCAACGGCAGTTGGGCGTTTTGTTTTGCACAGTCGTGTCCAGAGGGCAGTGCCTTGAAGCTATCCGAGGTTTCACCACGTCAACGCCATTGTCCGTCATGCTTTACCTTGCTGACCGAGGATATCATAATTGCAGGTGACTCAGCCACGGATACTCTTCAGATCGAACGCCCAGAGCCCATATTTTGCATGTGGCGAGGTTCTGTCATGCAGTATTAACCCAATCAACGCGGCGGACTTTCTTTCGGGCTGCAAAGGATGACCATCCAAAGTTCAGGCTACCCTCAGACTTCAGGTTAGCCTTCCCTTTACTTTTCCTTATCCCACATGTACCCAACCGCCGTGTTGTCGGGAGAGTTTTCCCGTTCATTTTCCATCACATCACATTGTTAATGGTCATTGGGTATCCGCTGCCTGTATCCTTAAGGTGCAGGATCGATTTTACCCCTTTACTCCAACACTGACTAGACATTGCATGTGTTCCTTTGATGTCTTCGCGGAAACATAGATCCTGCTACCGCTATCAGCACCGCTGCGGCTGCATTGCAGTTCATCGACTTTACAACGAAATTAGTCACAAATGTTGCTCAGATCTACGCATTAAAAACCGGCGAGACAGGACGAAATGCTTCGCTCGCTTCAGTCATCCACGATTTGGATTCTCTAATTTCCAGTGTCCAGAAAAGGTCTGGAGAGCTGTCAAACGTGGATGAGCCAGGTGTCACAGATCGCATACTTCTCGACTCATGCCAGCAATGCCTGGAAATAAACCAGGAGTTAAGGGCAACTTTGGATGTCGTCAAAGCTGACAAAACGATGAATTCGACGGGAAAAGCCTTCAAGGAAGCTTTCAATGCTGCGATGCGTTCGCTGGCTTCCGGACCCCGCATGAGTAAGCTGGTAAAGGACCTTGATCAGATCAAGAGTCAAATCAACATGGCCGTCTTGGTATCATTATGGTAAGGAAGCTAAGCTCATCGTCCTATTCCATTTTCACAAGACGCTGGGGCGTAGACAGCTGACACGAGATTTTTTTTTGTTTGTTTGTTTTTTTGTTTGTTTGTTTGTTATAGGCACCAAGGCCATGATCAACGAAACACTTTCCAGGACATATTTCAACAACAGGCCGAGATCGTCGCAAAACTTGATCGCCTTGCGGACAAGCGCAACGGACAGGACTTGACGAGAGAGTTCGGTTTCTTCATCGAGAACAGGATCCGTTCCATGGTCAATCAGGTCTGGAAAACTGAATGGCTTCCCGACAGGGTTGGAGAGGTTGTGACACAGAAGACCGATCTCACCCGCGATCTGGAGAAGAAAGAGCTTTTAGCGATCATTGAAACACTTCGTTTTCCTTCCATGGATGACAGAGAACAAGCAATTCCTGATGCTTACAAGAGCACATTCTCCTGGTTACTCGCATCCGACGCAGCTAATCAGCATCAAAAATGGGATAACTTTCCATCTTGGCTCCGGGAAGACACAAAAGATATCTACTGGATTACTGGAAAGCCAGGATCGGGAAAGTCGACACTCACGAAAATATCTGGTTCGGAATCCTGACCTTGGCATGCACCTGAATTCTTGGGCAGGGAGAAGGGCACTTTTGAAAGCGAGCTTCTATTTCTGGAACCCGGGGAGCGAGATGCAAAAATCATGTATCGGTCTATTACGGACTCTTCTGTATAGACTGCTCCTGCACAAACCTGACCTTGCTTACCAAGCTATCGACAAGAAAAGGTGGGCATTGATACGCATGTTTGGGAAAAAGACTCGCCCTCGAGATGTGGCCTTCCTGGGACATGGATGAACTCACGTCTGGCCTTATGGCTATTATCTCAGCGGCCGGCAACGATTATAAAATTGCCTTGTTTATTGACGGGCTTGATGAATTCGAAGGGGGCCACGAGTTCCTAGTCAATTTCGTCAAGAAGCTCAGCTGCCAAGACGGTGTCAAAGTTTGTGTCAGTAGTCGGCCCTGGAATATTTTTTGTGATTCGTTTGTTCGGCACCCAAGCTTACGGATGGAAGACTTGACAAAAAATGACATAGATCGCTTTGTTCGCGGCTACTTAGAGGCCCTCCCGGGATTTACCGAACTCCAAGCTACCGATCCTGAAGATACAGAGGAACTCATTCAGAGTGTTATATCCAAGGCCAACGGTGTTTTTCTATGGGTTGCGCTGGTTGTGAGATCGCTAAGCGAGCAGATAAGAGATGGGAAAACACTTGCCATCCTTCAGCAGACGGTTTCAGATCTTCCACAGGAACTTGAAGATCTGTTTGAAGCGATTCGACGCCGGATTGACGCTAAAAATCTTGGTCAGGCAACGAAGTATTTCCAACTTCTCAGATCCACACCAAGACCACACCGATTCTCGGCCCTTAAACTTTGGATTACTGATGATTGCAGGGGCCCCGACACGCGAGTTGCCATTTGATGAGACAGAGAAGTTTGAACACTTCAAAAAAAATTGCGGAAAACACTGTCAGAAGGCGTTTGAGCTCCTGTACCTTGGGTCTGCTGGAGGTGACTTCGTCTGGCGATGTAACTTACTTACATCGCACTATCCAGGAATGGATCTCGCGGCCAGAAGTGTGGGACAACATTAACCGCAACACACCAAGTGATTTCCATCCTAACCTCGAGCTATTCAAGGCAGAAACAGTCTTACTGCCGTATTCCATTTGGATGAGCACGGATCCCTTACATGATGTGGGCCAGTGCTTTTACCATGCGGCCATGATCCAAAAGACCGCTGGGGTTGAAGAACGAGTTACGGAGATCTGGAAGCGACTGGTCACATCTGCTGTTCGTCTATGCTCTACGCTTCATAGATGTGGATGAGCGTTTTCTGAACTTCACGCCCCCGGAATTTGCTTCCGACATATATGCGAGTCCGCTAATACTATTGGGCATGCTTGCTGCTTCCTTTGGATGGAATCCCTGGTCCATCCATATCATTTCTGAGGTACAATCTGTCAGGCGCAAGGCTCAAAAACAGGTGAACAGTCCCTACCTGCTTTTCGTCCTAATCATCGCCGCACTAGGGCCCCAAAAGCATCCTTGGATATCTGCTCTCCATGAGACGTTTGGTCTGGAGCCAACAAAAATGCTATTGTCGGGCATGGGCGATAGGGACCACCCAACTTCATGCAATCAACCCCCTGTGTTGCTAAACGGCAAGATTCTAACGCCGGTGTTACTTGATCCTGAGCAGAGGATCAAAATCGTTGAAGCGATAACTAAGATGTGCGCACAAGAGGCCAAGGTCTTGCACATACGGAATGAGGATTCGCTTACTCAGACGATGCGTATGCAGCAGTGGGTTACCGTGGAGGAACGTGCATACAGTCATAAAGTGAAGCGACTGGTTAACACTGCAGTGGAACAGTACCGCTCATATTACCGTCTAATCAAAGCTTCGGAACATTCAGTCGATGCTATGGGTGATGTAGTTGATGGTAGGGACAGTTTTGTTGATAAAAAGAATCGTTCGGGCAAAGTTGGAGACGTTATTAAGTTGAGTTTGCGAAAGAGCAGAAACCTAATCGCCAAGGGAAAAAACGCAGATAGCCAGTGATCCTGATAAGAGCAATAGACCACCAACTATTTCTCAGTTTGCTGACATCAGATGTGTG